TCGCCTACTAACTTCGCTCTCTTTCCGTTTGCGCGATTCAATAATATTATTATAATATAACAAAATATATACCTACACGCGGGGTAATCGTATTGTTATAATACCCGCGCGCGTGGATGCGTTTCGAGACGACAACAATCTTTTTTTTTTTCGCAAACAAAACGGATTGTAATATTACGCAGTGTAACGTTGTGGTGATTTCATTTAGATTTTCCTCCAAAAACGGAGATACCGTGTTACTTATACGCTGTCCGTTTTCCAGCAGAAATTAAATTTTTTGAACTAATATCGTGCGTCTGTTCTCAGCTAAATATCGAAATGAACTAATAAAAAAATTAAAAATGATAGCAATTATTCTAAAAGATAATCCAAACATAGAGATACTTTAAAGAGGACATTTTTCGATTTAACAAGAGTTTTCTCATCAAATTTAAAAAACCGAAAAAAAAAATGGAGGATAAACGAAAAAATATAAGAAATGTAGGTATTAATTAAAATACTACGGACTTTTTTTGTTATGTGAACAACTTTTCTACGAGCAATTCGGCTCCAGTTTAAAATACTAACAATTTTCCTGAAGGGAAACTTGTGGTAATTTAGGGAGTTTATTTTTCGATTTTATCGGGAATTTTCTCAATATATTGGAAAACACATGGGAAAACCGGGAAAAACGGGAAAATTGGTGCATTGAATAAATATTATTAAAGAAAATATCTGATGCATATTTAATTATTTTATCCTAGTATGACATACATTTTGTTGACAAAGCACCACTATCAATCGAGCGCCGCTCAGAATCGTTTATTCTTATTATGAAAATAGACAGAAAAAAATATGAAATTTCATAAACATCCGAACCCTAATTATAACCAATTACTTATTATGTTATTCATCTCTGCTTTGTTTTTTGTCCTAGTCTTATCCTACATACCCTCTAGACATCACGTAGTGCAAAGTATGTCTAAGTGATTCGTTATAATTTTTAGTGTGTATAGCGTAATATTATCACAATATATTATTATGTGCAGCATCACCTTCCTAAATTATAACAGTGGCCTACCGCGTGCGAAATATGAGTGGAATTTTAAAAATGTATAACAGTAACAAGTAAACGGCACGGTTTCCGCAAAGGCACATTGTCCGATCGATTCCGATACTATAATTTTTAATATTGTACAACTCGTTCGCGAATATTTGCAACCAATGTTTGAGCTCGTTCACTATCAAAAGTCTTAGGAAGTATCCCCATATCCGCTTAAAGTTTAATTTTTAAATCTGTTGACCGGACAACATTTTAATGTATGCCTATAAGCGAACGTGGTTGTATAATCTTGTTTGAGTGAAATGTAAAAATGTAAAACGCACGGGTACCCATAATACTTACCGATAGTAAACTATGCGCTGCATTGAGCATTGAGTTACTTAGCGTAGTTATTTTTTTTTTTTTTCGTTGTTGTTGTTGATAAATAGATAAATATACTTAAATATTGAAATCGAATAATGAAAATATGTGGTTGCATCTTCGAATTTCAATAAAACGAAAATTGAATATTTCAACTTGAACACCAAAGTATATCGATTAACACCTGTAATAATAAGGGGAATTTCCTTAACGGCGCCCCTGATAATATGGATTTCGTTCATTCTGATCAATAAATAATATTTAAATTAAAACCGTGTTTTAAAAAATGAAAAACGAAAAAAATTAGTTTTTCTGAAAATGAACATTAAGAGTCTCGTTTTAATACATTAAAACCTACGTCTCATTTTAATCATCGTCATCACACAACGGCCTGAAATTTACGCTGTGCAATATGGAGTACAGATGATTACTTAAGACAAACGAAAATCTTACTCGGTTACTTGTACACTAATCGCTCGTGTATTTGATATTTTTTCTCCTTTAACCCCATTCCATTGATTGGTACTTTTGTTGCACGCTGTGCGCGTTTCTCTTTTTGTATAATACTCAACGAAACTATACGATAACAACAAAAGGTATACGCACATCTATATAAAAATTGTTTTTAGAAATTCCAAAGGGTTCCATGTGAAGTTATAGGGAGATAGTAAAAAGGAAAAGTTTTCACAGTAATGCGAAAAATTCCCTCGGGAACTATATATACCTACTATACAACGATATAATGTTCAAAATCTGAGAACGGGCAACGTCCTTTGAACATATCAAAACGATTTTAATACGGGTTTATGCACGTTTTATTGAAAATAATAACCTGAAATATTGTCAAAGTGATCTTTCTACGTTCACTAATTTTCTAGAAATAATCTAAAACTAGATGCGCGTTAGTTTCGTTTTCGGCAGTTAAACCATAGTACTAAAGTATCCGTTTCGAAATCGCAGACAACAAATGCATTTTTCACATTAATCGCGTACGAGCAATGGTAATTCAAAAAAGAATTGTATGCTTTCACATTACAATATATTCGGACATCGAATGAATAGTAAAACTCGATGACTAATGAAGGTATAAGACAAACTCGTTAATATTTCGTACCTTTCTTTTAATTTATTCAAGACGGAGTTTAATTTATACTGCACTTTAATGGTATAATATAATATATTTCTCAGCTTTTCGCGAGGTCGGAATTTCTATAGGTTTTTAATCGTAAAATCTCGAAACCGGCGATGTAAATATATAAATTCGGCTTCAATGCGAAAATTTAAAGAGCCTCTTTCCTATTCAAATGTGATAAGATAAAATTAGATTAGTACATGTCTCCATCAAATCGTATTTTAATAGTCTTATTTTTATTATATCAAAAGAGGATCGGTGACTGCGTATATTTTAGTCGATTTAGACGTACGAATCAGACGAAACTGAAGAAATTATGTTTAACGGATTTCAATTTTTAAAACGGATTACGATTTTTTTGGTTTTTCACTATAAAACGTTTGAATTAAAAAAATTGAATTGTTGTAATGAAAATCGTAACAGAATTAGACTATATTCGAGTTGAATACCGCAGCATGTCAGTTATTGACGTAAAGAAGTTCTTGTTTTTTTTTTGAAACATTTTAAAATTCGAAGATATTCCCTTTCTGCATTTAGTGGTTTATAAATTATAACTGATAGTCTCCATTTTCAAAGGAAAATCCGACAAAAACGTCTATAGTAACGAAATAAAATTTAAGGTTTTTTTTGTTTTGTTTTGTTTTTTTTTTTCATACTACAACGAAAAACCTTTGAAATATTAATTGATTGTGGTGTATAATGTTTGAATACGCAAATACGACGATAAACAAATTAAAATGCGTTCATGACGTTTTCGTACATGTATGAATAGTTTTACATAACATTTCATCGCGTGCCAATGCTCTTTGGAATATTAACAAAGAGGCACGGGATCGTTATTTAACCGATCATTAAGCGAAATAGTATGGAAAGGTAGACCGGTGAACTATAATAATGCAGGGTTAATATAATATAATATACCCGGGTATAATATTTCCAATTTCGCTGTATAGGAAATTCGCGAATCGGGTCGGCCAACAAATATTATAATATTGTTTTTGTTCGAATAACATTTCCACAGCCGGTTAATTCGCTCTGGTTTTTTTTTTTGTATTCGGATTTTTATTCGACAAATATATTGTGTGTTTTTAAACCGCGAACGTAGAATTGTGTGCTTCTTTCGTGCCCGTAAACTGCAATTTGTCTACCATTTCTGATGAAAATTTTTCTAGTTTTTCGATTTTCCTCGTATTTTTCCCATTCATTGGGAATTGACGACAATACATTTTATTAACCGGTTTCTATTGATTTTATGTGGTAATTCAGTGAATAATAATCGTAGAGACTTTCGTTATATTATAAACTTTACCCTGTATTATATTATATTCTCAACTTCCCAAATACTACAGCGGCCGAACAATGGTACGAAGTACGTCGGCTTTGTTTCGTATACTTGTCTTTTTTCGATTAGTTGAAACGATCCAAAACTTTCCACACCACGACACGAATTTTCTGACCGGCGGTACTTAAATTGAAAAATTTCTTTTTAGATTCCCAACAGGAAAATCCGACTAAGACAATCTCTTATTAAATAAAAACTAAAATAAATAAATAAATAAAAAAACGTTACAAAAATAGGTCCATAAACATCTCAAAGCCCGATTGTTAAATATCGAATTATGAAGTTTATTTTTTTTTTTGATTTCAGTTTAGATTCCGGGCAGGTCAAGCAGGAAAAAACGTACTACGTACACAGACGTCCGGTTTTTTCTCTCCCTCTCGCATTCTTTTTATTCTTGCCTTTTTTTTTTTTTTGTTTTTGTTCAAGACTGCTACAACGTTTGTTAGTTCCTCGTTGTCGTCGTCGCCGTCGTTCTAGGTACTCGTTTCTTTTGTTTCGTGTTTTAAACGAGCCATTTACGTAATATTATTATAAAAATAATCTGAATACTGCAGAACTCCCGCCTCCGAGAAATTTAAATAACGTATATATAAGATGGGGTGGCGTATACGCGTGTATAACGTATAAGAAAACTTAAAAATACCACATCTGTACGAAATTAAGAAAAACATTTTGTTTTTTTTTTTTTTTTCAAAAACCTAACACAATACACGAAAAATGAATATTAATAACACGCAGCGATAATAATAATAAAGTCGAGGCGCTGCGCACGTGTTGTACTCTCTGTACAATAGTCACGTCAATGAACGAATTAATAACAATAATAATTATAATATCATTATTACTATTATTATACTATTGCGCTCTTGTTGTTGCGTTTTTCCGACCGTCTTATTTCCGATGTCCTTCCCTCCGACGACGACGACGTCGTTGTTACCGTACACTCGCTTTCCGTGCTCTCTAATTCTGCTCAAGAATATATATACACCACAATGATTCGTCCTAATTACAAATGCAAGACCCCCTGCGATTTCGCGTATATTAACTGCATGTATATATATATTTGTGCACAGGGCATTTACATAGCGGACGGAAAAGGACGGTACGCGACTAGCATTTTCTCGCTTGGAGACCGGCACTTAATAATATCGAGCTTAGCCTAATGTTTGTTATAATTAAAACAATTTCCCCTCGTATTTCGCCCCGTGCCTCATTCTCCCGCGGTCGAATGCAAAGCGATACGCTGCCGTATACGCTACGTTATAGGCGGAAGTAACGTCGACGAAAAAAACCGCGGAAACAAGCGGCCCGGAAATTCGGATTCGGAGGACGACCGGAAACCGTTTACCTACCTATGCAGTATTGTCAAGTCCGCGAGCACGACCTCTCTGCAGGATTCAATATAGAAGACCGAAAAAACGTTTTGTCTTGCCCGCAACCGCGTTTGTCGTCGTGTACACGCGGTTTACCGGATTCGCTTTATAGCAGTTAAATCATCCGCGAAATATTTATTTTTCCCAAAAATTGCGAGTGTAAAAACGTTTTAGAATCTATATTTATATAGAATTTATTTATTCTAAAAAGTTTTACATCGTGTCTCCTTATTTTTAAGAACGAAACGACTATCTACTTTTGATGAACTACGCGTTTAAACCCTAAAAATAACGGTATCAGAAATAATTACAGTTTTAAAATATATATATATATATGATTTCAAAATGTTTTAGCACAAAGTTATTTTTTAAAAAAAAAACGTAATATTTCACGTGGAACATTTGACTGCAAATCATATAAAATTTGATAAATCTTGTATTTTCCCAACTTATTGGAATTCATGTTGTCAGGTTGTACATTTATAACACGCCACGCCGTCTCCGTAAAAATTGCTTCAAACCAACCTGTTGGTGGTAATGTGAAAAACTGGCAATTTCTCTCACATGTAGACAAAATAATATGAAAAACTGGACCACGGGATAGGCCACTGCAGATGTTTTAGACAAAAGGAAGTCGAGAATCTATAAGTTAATATACATATTGTGATTAACGAAAAATAAATATTGCAATTGAAAACCGATTCTGAACAGAATTCGGTAAACTAGTGTAACTAGTTTTTTTCCTCCATAAACCAAAAATTGAGAAACATAAAACCAACGGATCGTAATTTTCTATAGAATTTTTTTTTTTTAATTTTTATAAAAACCTACAGGGAATTCAGGAAATTTCACTGGGGAAGTACTATAAAGAGGTCGTTTTTCAATTTTGTCCGGAATTTTCTCAACAAATGTGAAAAACCGAAGAATTAAAGAAATGTAGGTATTAGATAAAAATATTATAGCCTTTTTTTTCAGTAGACAACTTTTTTGCAACCACAATTTTATTTCATTTTAAAATTATAGCAATTTTACTAAGGTGGTTCCTTAAAGAAGTTATTTACCAATTTTCTCCGGAGTTTTCTCAACAAATGTGAAAAATCGGGAAAACTTAGGAAAATTTAAAAAACCGGTACAAAATCAAACAAATATTACTAAAAAATGTACAAAGCCTATTTCATAATTTTACTATAAACTAACAAATATATTGTTATCATAGCATGACTATCAACTGAACTCCACTCAGAATCGTTTCTCCGTACACAATGGTTAAACGTTGCTTACAGGTATACATTTAATTACCTATAACTGTGACTGTATCCGTCCCCATTATCATCCTACATATTTTTAAACAATGTTACTTTCACATTGATGATGTTTCTCTGGAATTTGCATAATCTTTATTTTTATATTTTAACTCATATCATGTTATTATTTATTGTTTATGTTGACACATGTTTATTGCATAAGCTATGATTATTAATCAACTGTTAAGACCTTTTACTTCTACACAGTCAATGGTTTGGAAGTGACTAACCACTGTACTTTGATTATCTCATTATTCTTAATTTGTAAATACTATTTGGAAATAAACACATACATATTACTATTAAATAATAATAAAAATACAATTTAGTAACTGAAAAATAAAAAAAAATATAATTATTTACTATGGTATATATCGGTATTACTTATACAATTTTTAGAATAACATAAACTTTATTCGGATTTTTATCAACCAACAACATCTCGTGTTCTTATTTTTAATGTTTATAATACAAGTATCTATAATATTTGTATGTTTTGTTTAAACAACTCTATAAAAAAAAAAAAAATGCAACACAATATGAATCTGATTTTCAATTATGCCAAAGTAAAAGCTCGGTGCATCCTAACACAATATTGTCTCTTCGATATCGGAAAAAAAAAAAATTAAACGATCATGTACAAAGGGAGTTTGTAGATTATTATTATACAGCAGCTTTCGTACGTACAAAAATCGTGTTCTTTATATCTTTTGTTAAGCATTTTCAATTAAAATATAAACGTCATTCGCCAAGTGAAATACGCGTCTTTTCAAGTGCCTCCGGGAAAAAAAAAAAAAAATCTTAATACACCTAAAATTACTATACAGGATATAGGTTCTCGAAACGTCTGAATTGTTTGAAAATTATTTTGCGTTTTTCCAGTGAGTTATCCGTGTCGTCGGATTGCAATCTGTAAAAATTTGTTGTCATTAGCCAGCCGTATATTTTATAAACACATTTCCATTTTATCCAAACAATACCTTAACAAAAGTGCAGGACTTAATTGCATGGTGGTTTATTTAAAAAATGTTTCTGTATTCCCAACAATTTTTCTAATCATTTAAACAAAAAAAAAAGTATTATAAATTACGATAGGTTTATTTTTATATTTATAGACGTTTGGGTTATATTAGAACAACAACAAAAAAAAAAACAAAAACAAATAAATTATAACATAATCTTTCCAGTTTACCTTGCCATTCACTCAGAATTGTTTTTGATTTTAAAATTTATCATTGCTTTCAGTATTTAAATGTTTTAACTTTCTATTCCCTATTTTCTGTTATATACCTTCCAAACAAAATCCACTACGTAGTGCATCAACATTAGCCTACGCTTACCTACATGCAACGATTGAAATAATATCAAATATTTTGTGAGTTTTATTTAAAGTTTAGATTCTGAGTGAAGCGAAGAAGCTCATGGTTTTACAAAGATGTTTATTTTTTTTTTTTTTTTTTGGAGAATTTTTCTACAAATATGAAAAATCGAAAAAAAACGGAAAAAAAAAAAGTAATGTAGATATTAGCTAAAAATATTATGGCCTTTTTTCCTCTGGATAACTTTTATATATGCAATTTCCCTCCAACTTTTAATGATAGCAATTTTTTTAATAGGAAATTTTTTGGGGAGGTATTTTAATGAGGTCTTTTTTCGATTTTCTCAGAAGTTAACCCAGCAAATCTGAAAGATTGGAAAAAAACATGGGAAAACCTGGAAAAACGATAAAATCGGTACATTATTAAACAAATATTATTAAAGAAAATATATAAAACCTATTTATTTATTTTACTATAATATATATTGTTAACAAAGCCTTACTATCAACTATACTCAGCTCAGAATCGTTTTTTAAATATATATTGTTGACAAAGAATCGATATCAACAACTGAACTCCACTCGGAAAAGGTTTTTCGTAAGCAATGGTTTATTGTTGCTTAAAGGTATTCATTAAATATTAATATTCAAAGCACCCGTTCCCATCTTCCTAGGACGTCTTTTTTCCGATTTTTTTTCGAGCCAATGTATCCGAACAATATGTAACGGCACTAGAATTTTCGTGGCATGTAACAGCGAATCAATCAAAATAATCGTGCGGTTATGTTCCCTCCTACCCCATAAATGTTCGCTTCAGTTACCTATTATAATGGGATCTCATATACACAACTACTACTCGTATAATACGTAAAGTGAATTATTCGGAGTTGTTTTTTTTTTTTTTTTTGCAATCCGTCTAACGATCATTTTACAGGTTTTCGCTCTCATTCCGTGAGTAATTTTTTTTTTTTTTATATATCTACCTGTTTCTGTTGCTGCCAGGTACAAAAAAAAAAAAAAAAAAACATCTAAAAAGTTTCCAAGTATAATGTTTTGACATTTTTTTTTCTTCTTTTGCTCAGTATAAATGTAAAAACATTATGAAGCTCATTTTTAATTATATTATATCTTTATTTCGTCAAAAATAAATGAATTGTCTACCTATGAAAGAAGTCGACTATTTAATAAGGGGTTGGATACTTATAGTAGATTTCATATAATTATATCAACTCTGTAATAGTTATTTTATACTAGGTTGGAATTTAAGATTCTGGGTGGAGCAAAGAAGCTTATAATTTCAAAAAATTTCACCGGGATAGTACTTTAGAGAACTCATTTTTCGATTTTCTCAGGAGTTTTCTAAACAAATTGGTAAAAACCAAAAAAAAATAAATAAGAAATAAAGGTATCCACTTTAATTTTACAATTGGAATAATTCAAATTTTATCATAATATAATATAAATATATATATTGTTAACTAAACATCACTATCAACTAAATTCCGCTCTGAATGGTTGTTTTTTTAGTAATGGTTTTTCGTTGCTTACAAGTATACATTTAATTACCTATAACAATGGCTATACCCGTCACCACTATCCTAGAACCTCTTTTATAATTAGACACATATTTTGTTTCAGTCTTATATAACTTTGTATCATTATATAGTATGAAAAAATGTATTCGAGTTTTAAAAAGAGAAAACACGAAATTGTCAGATTACGGTTTCTTTACACACCAACACTAGTGTAGCCTGAGTGGTTCTTGTCCGGACAAAATGATTTTTACAAACAATTTTATGGACGTACCACGTCCACTGGCATTATATTTTTTATATGAAAAAAAAAAAATGTATAAAAGGATTTATAAGTGAATGTACAACACGGACGGTCCATCAAAACCTGCAAACCCACTGCTACAATATTTCGTATAGTCTACCATTAGACACGGTTTTTCGTTCAATACCTACCGAACGTGTGGTGTGAAAAACCCCCACGTGCACGCCGTATAAAACTTTTAACCGTAACAAGACACAAAGTCTGTCTTAAGAAAGAAAAAAAAAAATCACTTTGCTAAACATAATACACTTTGACGTCGCCGTCTTCGTCCTAAAGTGAGTTTTATTCACTTTCCGAAACAGCCGAGTGATTCGAAACGTGGCGTTTGTCTCGCGAAATCCCGCGCACTGTATATAGGTACATAACATAGTCGTTCGACGACAATTCCGTTTTGCCGAACACGCGAAACGTGAAATTCGACAATGTATAAGCCCGTTATAGTGCATATAGATGGATACGTTTTGAGATTTCCGTTGTTCAATAGTATTATATTATATAGGTATACACTTTATCGTGAGAGACCCGTTTCTACTGTAGCCGCAGCAGAGACGTTTATGCGAGTCTCTCGATTTTTCGTAG